ACGACTGTCAGCTGATTGCTCAACAGGAACTTTGCAGGCCAGAAGGAAGTGGCAGGAAATATTCCAAGAGATGAATAGCAAAGACCTGCAACCATGATTACTCTACCCAGCAAAGCTCCCATTTAGAATTGAAGGTCAGATAAAGAACTTCCCAGACAAGAAAAAGCCAAAGGAGTTCTTCACCACCACAACAGTATTACATGAAATGTTGAAGGGTATTCTTTAAGAAGAGGAAGAAGAAAAATAAAGGTAAAAAAATGTGAACAATAGTACACAGTACATACATATCTACTAATAATTGAATCTAAAAATAAAAATAAATGAACGAGGAATAATGAACAAAATAAAGTGCTGAATAAAATAGAACGGGAGGCATGGAAACATGGAATACACTGACGAATCTCAGAGAAAAGGGTGTGGGGGGAGAGTAACCAAAGATCTTATATGCATTACCTATGGTCACAGACAATAGGGTGGTGAAGGCCTGGGAATAGGTGGAAGGGGGGGTACATCTGTAATACTCTCAACAAGATATATATATATATATATACGGGTGGAAAGGGGGTACATCTGTAATACTCTCAACAAGCATATATATACATGCTCCCAGACATTGGTCCATGGTTTTTCACCTACACCTTCAGTGCTCACCTCTCTGCTTTCTAGCTTCATCTGAGTTTTCTAGTTTTTTAAAACATATTTTTATTGATTTCAAAAAAGGAGGAGAGAGAAAGAAAGAAACATCAACGATGAAAGAGAATCACTGGTCAGCTGCCTCCTGCACGCCCCCTACTGGGGATCGAGCCTGCAACCCAGGCATGTGCCGTTGACTGGGAATCAAACCGATGACCTCTTGGTTCCTGGATTGACGCTCAACCGCTAGCCACACCCAGCTGGGCTCTGTGAGTTTTCTTTTCTTTCTTCTTTTTTTAAAATATATTTTATTGATTTTTTACGGGGAGGAAGGGAGAGGGATAGATGTGCCTGCAACCAAGGTACATGCCCTTGACCGAAATCGAACCTGGCTCTATCCACTGCGCCAAGCAGGTTAGGGCTTAAAATATATTTTATTGATTTTTTACGGGGAGGAAGCGAGAGGGATAGATGTGTCTGCAACCAAGATACATGCCCTTGACCGAAATCGAACCTGGCTCTATCCACTGCGCCACGCAGGTTAGGGCTTAAAATATATTTTATTGATTTTTTACGGGGAGGAAGGGAGAGGGATAGATGTGCCTGCAACCAAGGTACATGCCCTTGACCAGAATCGAACCTGAGACCCTTGAATCCGCAGGCCGACGCTCTACCCACTGATCCACACCGGCTAGGGCAATAAAAATATGTTTAAAAATGAGGAAAAGGATGGTTATTAATCAGGTCCTGGCCACTTGGGGCCGCAGGGACCGCAGTTACTGGTTAGCCCCCGCCCCGTCACTGCAGATGGGAGCGGCCGGCCCGTGCGTTGCGCATGCGCTGTGGGGGTGGTCTCCCGGGCAGGCGGCTGCGAGCTGAGGGGCTGGGGGGTCACCTCTGTGTTTCCGCCTCCGCCCCTTCGGGT